TTAAATATGACGAGGGCGAGTATACATGTGAAGAGTTGAGAACTGTTATTCAAGAGCTTAATAAAGATCAGGATGGGAAAGTAATTATTAAGTCAGATCAGGTTTATTGGCATCGTCGCTTTCCCGAATTCAAGAAAAACTATCTACATGATTATCCCAAATGCCATAAACTTTCTCGTTATAGGCAGGAGCTTTTACAACAATCACAATTAGGTTTATCTTCAACTATATCGGAAAAAAGATCTCAAGAACATATATCCGAATCTGAAACTGAATCATATTTCGATGATGATTCCGATTACAGTCGTCAACAGTCGATGGCCGAATCTAGCACTACTGCAGCAAAAAGAAAACCTAATAAGCGATTGAAACGTCGAATCGAACAATTTATAAACGATTCTAATCAAGATGATGTAAATATATCAAATTCTCGTATAATGCTTGACGATAATTATTTTGTTCAGAAACCCGTAGAGGTTATAGAAATAACCAATGAGTATGCTAGTAGTCAAGGCTGATTATGTTTAACGTGGCGAGAAATTATAGAAAAGCAAAATGAAGAAAGCCGTCGTCTCAATGAGGAGAATGCGAATATTTAGTTATGACAATTTATCAAATATTTATTTTTACGATCTTAATTTTATAAATAAAATTTATGTTATTTTAATTGAGTTTAAAATTTAAGGGTTATAAAAATATTACAAAGGTTTACGATCATTATGAATAACAAATTTTTTTTCAGAATAGATACGATTAATATTTTGTGTTCTTCCTGTAGGAAATTACAGTTTCAAAGAATTTACATCTACTACATTTAAAAATTCAGATACTATTATCTTTAGATTTAGTTAATATGAGGTGACTTTCTATTGGACAATTACATTTTTTTGAAAAATTTTTTACGCCATACCAAAGTTTAAAAAATTTAAAACAACCTGCGTAAAGGAAAAAATTGTTTACATGTTCACATGTTTTTACTTTATTACAATTGTTGATAATTGTTCCCATTATGATGAT